GGTGTCCCAGACAGAAGCTCCTGTGGTTTGATACTGAACACTGGATGGGGTGGACGGGACCACCAGGACTTAGCAAGGCGACCATGCGTGCATCCTGAACCCCGAGGCTTCTCTCTGCGGCCACCGGCCTTGGGGCCAGGCCCCTCCAGCTGACCCTTCCTCTCCCCTCTTCCAGGAGACCAGCAAGCGGCTCGCCAACCAGATCCCATTCATAATCCAGTATTTTATGCTCCAAGAGAATGGCGATTACTTGCAGAAAGCCATGATGCAGATACTGCAGGAAAAGGATCAGTATTCCTGGCTGCTCCAGGAGCAGAGCGAAACCGCCCTCAAGAGGAAATTCCTTAAGGAGAAGATTTACCGGCTCACCCAGGCGCGGCGCGCTCTCTATAAATTCTCCTCTTAAAGGGGGCAGATAGATGGGAGGCCAATCATACTTGGGAGTTTTATCTCCTGTGCATTCATTGGAAGGGGATGTGGTGCAGGGCGTGGCTTCTGGTTCGGGGTCCGCCTTTCCCCTTGCTGTCTGTCCATCTTCGCTGAACTGCCCCAGAGTTTAGATCTGAAGTCTACACTTGCTGAGAGCTGTCACCTGCACCTGCGTGAACAGATGTCTCTCCAGTCCCTGACCCCATTGCCTCCAGCTACAGCTTTCTTAGCTACTGCTGTCACTCCTTGTTCCTTTGTCTCTCCCCACCCATCAGATTAGGAGAGCCCCCGAGAGGAAAAGTCAGTATTATATCATTCTTCCGTATTTCCAGAATCTTGCATGGCACCTGGCACACAGTAGCCACTCAATAAATGCTATCTCATTGCACAAAGGAATGATGGAGATTACCTGAGGCCATGGCTGGAATCAGACTTTGCTTATTGGGGATGGTGTCCCTTAGCTGGTCACTTTCAGATGAATTGGGTCATGCCACCTGCTGTGATCACATTTCCCAGCTCCCCCTGGGAGAGAAGGACCTGAACAATAGATACTATGATTAATTATATTGTTTCCCTAGTTACAACAAGCTCCGGTTGCTACGTGTTATTTTTTTTACTTTTTTATTGAATTTATTGGGATTACATCTGTTACATGTTAAATCTTAAAGGGAAATTTAATAATAAAAACATTTTAAAGAAAAGCTATAGAGCTTCACACAGTGGTCATCTCTAGGTTGGAGGAATGTGGCTATTTTATTTTCTTCTTCCAGTTAAGCGATCCCCACCTCATAGGAATTTTAGGAGGGTCAAGTGAAACCATTTCTATAAACTACCTGTCCCAGGAGCTTGGGTTAAGAAATGTCAGCAATTCTTCCCTCCAGCAAAGACCTCTTTTTTCCTTTATTTCTATGTTCACAGAGCAGCCCTCACTGCTAAAGCTCTTCCGCCTGCTCTTATGTTTAGTTCTCTGATACTTTTTGAGCCAGTTGCTGTAGATAAGTCCATTTTCATTCTTGGGCATGTGGATGCTCAGTTTTCCCAGCCCCAGTGGTTGAAAAAACTGCCCTTTCCCTCACTGTCCCGGCAACTCGTCAAAAAGAATCTGACCATATGTACGAAGGCTTATTTCTGGGCTCTCTGTTCCATTCCATCGGTCCATATGTCTGTCTGCATGCCAGCACCACAGCTTTGATAACTGTAGCTTTGCAGTATGTTTTGAAATGAAGGAGTGTGAGCCTTTCGGCTTTGTTCGTCGTTCTCAGCATTATTTTGGTTATTTGTAGTCCCTTAGGGTTCCATATGAATTTTAGGATGGGTTATTTTTTTTTTTATCTCTGCAGAAAATGTCATTGGGATTTTATAGGCATTGCATTAAATCCACAGATCACTTTGGATAGTATTTGCATTTTAACAATATTAAGTCTTCCATTCCATAAACACAGGATGTCTTTCCACTCATATCTATTTTAATTTCTTGAAGCAATGTTTTGTAGTTTTCATTGTACAAGTCTTTCACTTCCTTGGTTAAGTTAGTTCCTACGTTTTTTATTCCTTTTGATGGTATTGTAAATATAACTGTTTTCTTAATTTTCTTTTCTAATTATTCATTATTAGTCTACAAAAATTCAACTGATTTTTATGTGTCCAATTTGTACCTTGCCACTTTGTTAAATTAATTTATTAGTTAAAACAGTTTTTTGGTGTGCTTTTGTTTGTGTGTGTGTGTGGAATCTTTATGGCTTTCAACCTACAAGTTCATATCATCTGAATTTTATCTCTTTACTTTGCTTAATTGCTCAGGCTAGAACTTTCAACACTATGTGGAATGAAAGTGCCAAAAGTGGGGATTCTTGTCTTGTAAAGCTATTCTGGTTCTAAAGAACTTTTGTCATATTGAAGCTAAAGATGAAGAGAATTTAAAAGACAAAACATTAGTTTAGGTATTCTTTGCTTTTTAAAAAAATTTGGCTTTTCCCCCTTATTGTGTGAGTTAGTCAGTACAGAGAGTCAGTGGCAGAGCTGAAGAGAAGAATCAAATCTCCTCAGATTATAAATACTGTTGTGAAAACAGCCTGAGAAAATAGTCTGGTGCTTAATATTTGCTCCATAAATTGTATATTCAATCT